GCCACATGTGGAAGGATTGCCCGTTGCCTAATATTTCTTATCAATATTAAAAAAGTAATGAAAAACACATTTTTCACTGAAAGTAATTGTAAATTCTAAAAACTAACTAAAAGGAAGAAATTTTCCACATGGTTTTATAAAGTCTAGTAGAAAACACACATTTAATAATTGCCTACCTATTCTTTAAAACATACTCAACACACGTTATAAAATACATTCAAATCAATTTTGTCAAAATATAAAAATGCAAACTTCGACTCCATCAAAAAATTAAGTCAGCTCTCCTGGTTTAGCTGCAGACTTGGACTTGGACGGAACAAGTGAAAGTTCTTAAGTTTTACTTTCGGTTTCTTGCAACTTAAGAAAGATTCTATAAAAAAAAAGACCTCTTAATTCCTTTCTATCACTATGATACAAGTATGGCCATGTCCTGACTGGCATAGGGATACAAACTTCAGCAATCATCCTATAGAATGAAAAAAACAAAAACATTTCCACCAGTTTCTAGAAACTGACTGATAATGGCTAAAACTCTGTGCAGGAGAGATTTAAGTGGGGTATTTCTGTGTTCACCATGTACATATTTCTCTCGCCGTGTGTTGTGTGTTGATTTTATATTTTATATATTATTTCACCGTGTGTTGTATAGACCATGATTGTACATATTATATCTCACCAGGTGCAGCATGCAGCTTGCCACAGATATTGCAGCCTTACGTATTGCGTGGTGGGCCACACTAAATCACTTCTCTGGTTCTTGTAACTATGCAGAAAATATCAGATCACTGCAACAGAGTCTGAAGTGAGAGTCTTTGCTCACTTAAGTACATAGTGCACAGTTTCTGTAGGAGAACATGGTATGTTTTTAAGTTTTCCTTTCTCAAATTTCGCTTGGAAATATCTGAGAACCAGAGAAACAACTTGGTGTGGTTTAGAAGCTCTAAGTGCAGCGGGAGGGGGGCAAGCGTCTTTGCTATTGCATGAACTTATATCTAATATGTACACTGATATATATATATATTTATATTTATATATATCCACATCTTGCCTAGCCTATATCCTAATATTTAGTATTTAGAAACATGGCATACATCGGAGTCACATGTAGAGAAAGGTTAAAGGGCACTACCCAGCATGTCCAAGGTCAGCTGTGCAGGTCAGAGGTCAAGGTCAGCCCCTGGACAAGGTTACTTACGAAATGTAACTGACTGCCTGAACTTGACAAGATTTGTCATCGTCTAGTTTTCAACTAGCTGCTCCACTGATACTGTTTTTTACACCACCTCAATCTTCAGTTAGTAACTGAAAAGGGACCATTTTGGCAGTGTTTCTGTACCAATAATTAAGCTAGACACTGACTTATCACTAGAGTCCAGACATTGCTTCAGTAGAAAATAATATTCAAACACATTTGCCAGCAGGGGCATAACTGACTGAGGTTGAGTCGGAAGCCCGGTGTAGCTCCAGTATACGGTGGTTTTGGACTGGCAGATTCTTACAACAGAAATGTTTCCAGCCCAAACTCTGGACATGCTGAGCAGTACGCAATGAGTTAGTCACAGGTGGTGCCCCTGCCTGCAGTACCAACTGCAGCTGCCAGGGGAGCTGGTCACATTGCTGCAGTACTAATGGTAGCTGCCAGGGGCGCTGCTCACTTTGTTGCAGTACCAACTGCAGCTGCCAGGGGGCTGCTCACATTGCTGCAGTACCAACTGCAGCTGCCAGGGGGCTGCTCACTTTCCTGCAGTACCAACTGCAGCTGCCAGGGGCGCTGCTTAATATGCAGTACCAACTGCAGCTGCCAGGGGCGCTGCTTACTATGCAGTACCAACTGCAGCTGGAGACCTAATGAACCTGCCTGCAATACCAACACCAACCACTGGAAGTGCTGCAGCACCAGGTCTCCTAGTTGATCATTACTGTAACTTGTCCTGCAGCTGTAGAGAACAGCGCTCCTGGCAGCTACAGTTGGTACTGCAGGCAGGTTCACCAGGTCTGACCACTACTATGACTTGTCCTGCAGCACTGTGAAGCACCGCCCCTGGATGTTACAATTGGTACTGCAGGCAGGTTCACCAGGTCTGACCACTACTATGACTTGTCCTGCAGCATGACAAGGAACTGCACATAGTCTTTGGCGGGGGTTCGGAAGGCCTGCGCTATCGCCCGCGCGGCGTCTTTGTGCTCCAGGCCTTGTAGAGACTTGCCGTCAACCTCCAGGATCACATGACCTACCTGCAGGGCCCCTGATTGGTCAGCTGAGCCGCCAGGCTGGGGGACGGAAAACAAACAAAAACACATCAACCAACAATACATTGCACACCTAGCATGAAAGTTTACATGTATCTGTGTTGGTACAAGTCATTATAACATTTGGGGTAAGTCCTAATTCTAAATTGTAGTTAGTGGAGGAAGTTAAAGCTTAGTCTTTATTTCATACCATTACACACCTGTTATAATGGTGTATATGATATGACCCACCTGTATAGTGATGATCCTGGGCAGCGGTTGCCGGGTGTTGGCCCCGCCCTCGATCGCTATGCCCAGCGTGGGGGCGACTTTTGGCACTGTGACTAGGTAGGGGTGGTTCACGCTGGGGCTGGAAACCTGCAATCAATCGATCAATCAATCAATCAATCAATCAATCAATCAATCAATCAATCAATCAATCAATCAATCAATCAATCAATCAATCAATCAATCAATCAATCAATCAATCAATCAATCAATCAATCAATCAATCAACTTCACTGGACTGGAAACTGGCGGATGTAAGAAGACAGAAATCAACAGTTTCTACATTCAAACAAACGTGGTCTCTCACCATCGTTTCCGCGGGACTGTCTCCCCTCGCAGTTCCTGTCCCGTTGACCATGTCCATTCGGGGCGGCGGGGGTGGCGGCTCCTGGGGCTTCACTGGGGGTGACGACCTCTGACCTCTGTCCCTCTCATTCCACTGGGTGGGTGACCCTTGACCTCTGTCTGGAAGGTCGCTGTGTCTGTCGTCCTCGGGTCTTTTCTGATTCACGTCTTCCTCCTGAAGCCCGTTGGTCATCTGCGACGGCGATCTGCCAAATTTGGGCACAGCGTCTGGCGCCTCCCTGCCATTGGTCAGTCTGGGTGGGGTTTCCATGGCAGCAGAGTGGAAGGAGGAGTCGGGAGATTCGTTAGCGGTCAGGAACGAGGCATTGTGGAGATTAGAGTCTTCCCCGCTCTCGTACGCGTTTTCGTGAACTTCGCTGATGGTGACAGGGTTAGGCGATATGGTGACACTGGGGGCACAAGGGCAGACGGGGTTAGTGGGAACGTCTGTGAGAGACCCGGGAACGTCTGTGAGAGACCTAGGAACGTCTGTGAGAGACCTAACCTCGCTGATGGTGACAGGGTTAGGTGATATGGTGACACTGGGGACACAAGGGCAGACAGGGTTAGTGGGAACGTCTGTGAGAGACCCGGGAACGTCTGTGAGAGACCTTAAACTTCGCTGATGGGGACAAAGGTAGGCACGCAGGGGAAGAGGGTTATTAGCAGGATGAGGCCACACTAAGTTATTTTTTGGTTGTCAGTTCTGATAATAGTTGATGTTGTTGGTCTCATGCGGGAGTCAAATCACACACAAGTTTGAATGACAGTCTCCAACAGCAGCTGTTAACTTTTAATCTCTTACATCAGAGCTAAAATACACGAGCTGAAATAACTATTGTATGGAAGTGCGTTGGCTTGCGGCTTGCTGCATGCATTAGTTAAATATTGCATAGACAGTTGCTTAATGCCAATCTCACTTGCAAATCAGTCATAGGGAGGTCTCACACAGTTTAAAAGTAGGTCTCATACAATGGCTGAAGTGACATGAACTAGTGACAAGTCACTCGCCAGAGTTAAAATCCAATACATTGGTACTTACAAGGAACATAAATTTGTTGCTGACACACTCATGCATATTAGAACTAATATGTCTCACACAGGAGTTTAGACATGACACAACACATTTAGTAAAAGGAGGTCTCACATATGTGTTAATGACTTGGCATGGATGATAAAGATTATGTCTGGAGCTTAAGACTGGCATGACATGCATGAGATGGTGAAGGGGAGTTATTGGGTTACATCATGCATTGGGAATGAGGTATCACACATGAGTTTGTGGCTAACATGGTATAACCACACTGATTCAGTTAAGTCTCACACAGGAGTTACAAATGATGATCTCACAAGTGTGTTTACTGTTGACATGCCATGCATGTGTGAGGGGGACTCACACCGGAGTTTACTGACGGCATGCATTACCAAGGGGAGGTCTCACACGGGGGTTTACTGAAGGCATGCATCATCAAGGGGAGATCTCACACCAGAGTTTACTGAAGGCATGCATTATCAAGGGGAGGTCTCACACCGGAGTTTACTGAAGGCATGCGTTATCAAGGGGAGGTCTCACACCGGAGTTTACTGAAGGCATGCATTATCAAGGGGAGGTCTCACACCAGAGTTTACTGAAGGCATGCATTATCAAGGGGAGATCTCACACCGGAGTTTATTGAAGGCATGCATTATCAATGGGAGGTCTCACACCGGAGTTTACTGAAGGCATGCGTTATCAAGGGGAGGTCTAACACCGGAGTTTACCGAAGGCATGCATTATGAAGGGGAGGTCTCACACCGGAGTTTACTGAAGGCATGCATTATCAAGGGGAGGTCTCACACAGGAGTTTAGGGGGCGGAGAAGTGAGGCGACACATTTACCTCTTCTTCTTGCTGCATTCACACAGGGAGGAGCAAGCACCAAGCAGAACATGCAAAACAAAAAAGCATCCAGTTAACCAAACGCATCGCATGGGGAAACATGGAGCACACATCGCTACATTGTTACATGTGGGTGTGGCGAGGTACAGACATGTCTCAACATTGTTACATGTGGGTGTGGCGAGGTACATGTGGCAGACATGTCTCAATCTGAACAACATGTGGGTGTGGCGAGGTACAGACATGTTGCTACATTGTTACATGTGGGTGTGGCGAGGTACAGACATGTTGCTACATTGTTACATGTGGGTGTGGCGAGGTACAGACATAATGCTACATTGTTACATGTGGGTGTGGCGAGGTAGAGATAGTCTCAACATTGTTACATGTGGGTGTGGGGAGATACAAGGAGCTACCACTGACAATATGAAGGAGGGTTGTGTTAAGAACTAATTATAGTAAACTCTTCTATTTAATGTTAATATATATAATGATAATAACAAATACGTACAATGAGGTATGAGGCAAAATTTAAGCCTTTTATATTTAGTCTTGTGGGGTTCTATTGGAGGTCTCCTGGAATCTTTTATCAGTGAGTTATCGTCAAAGTAACAGAACCTGGTGTCAATGTTGGATACTGAGGCACTTGGGGATGAACGTCCGTGAGAGACCTTAAAGCATGCAGTACAGTTTCAACCCACAAACGTCTATTAGAGACCTTACTTCTCATCGAAGATTTTCAGGGGCCCTTTTATAGTACACACAAGTGAAAATACAGGGAAACATCTTTTAAACATCCGTCAGAGACCTTAGGGAACACAGGGTCAACTGAAATTGACAGACAAACATCTGTGAGAGACCAATGAACATCTGTTAGAGACCTGACATATTGGAGCTCACAGAGGAACTTCTGTTAGAGACCAGTGAACTGCTGTTAGAGACCAGAGAACTGCTGTTAGAGACCAGTGAACTGCGGTTAGAGACCAGTGAACTGCGGTTAGAGACCACTGAACTGCTGTTAGAGACCAGTGAACTGCGGTTAGAGACCAGTGAACTGCGATTAGAGACCACTGAACTGCAGTCAGAGACCTGACACACAGGTACAGAGGAAGTGCGGTTATAGACCAGTGAACTGCTGTTAGAGACCTGTGAACTGCTGTTAGAGACCAGGCAACTGCTTTTAAAGACCTGACACATGAGTACAGAGGAACTGCGGTTAGAGACCATTGAACTGCGGTTAGAGACCTGACACACAGGTAGTGGAACTGCGGTTAGAGACCAGTAAACTGCGGTTAGAGACCTGACACACAGGTACAGTGGAACTGCGGTTAGAGACCTGTAAACTGCGGTTAGAGACCTGACACACAGGTACAGTGGAACTGCGGTTAGAGACCATTGAACTGCGGTTAGAGACCTGACACACAGGTACTCACAGGAGGAATTTTTCCGTCAGGCCCGACCAGACCCGAGACCAACATTGGGCCAGACGGCCGAGTCTCGTCCTTTTAGCCGCACAGGGGAGAAACCACAGCGTTTTTTGCTTTTTGGTCATGATTTTTCTTCTTTTTCTTGTACATTAGGGATGCGACACAAACTTACTTCTGTGGTCTACAGTTCAGGGGAAAGGTTGGTGTTTACAGTTGAGGGGAGAAACCACAGGGAGGGATTTTTGCTTTTCTGTCATGAAGAGGACAAGATTCTTTTTCTTCTACATTGATGGATCTGGATGAGACGGATACTTTAATTTCTGTGGTCTACAATTCAGGGGAAGGGTCGGTGTTTGCAGACAAGGGGAGGAAACTGCAACTACAGGGAAACTGATTTCTAAAACTGTTCCATTCTATATTCCAGGGGAGCCGCTTGTAAATGTGTGCTTGGATGGCCCACGCGCACCCAGGGCCGTACCTGGGGCAAATATAGTGCGCTCTTGAAAACACAGAGATTATCCAGAACCGTGCCTGATCCTAACCCGAACCCTTTCAGGCATAGAACTAGGTTCTGGATACGATTATAATCCCTCCCCAGGAAGCCAGAATGGAACAGTCTGTAAAAAGAGGTATTTTGAGTGCGACAAGCTGAACTCACCTTTCCTTGCTGCCAGAGTTACTGTTGAGCGTCAAGTCAACTCCACTGTCCTCACTGACACTAGACTGCTGTGCCAGGTCCTTACCGGGCTTCAGAGCACTCTGTCAACAAACAAACAAACGAACAAACAAACATCAGCGCACTCTGTCAACAAACAAACAAACAAACAAACAAACATCAGAGCACTATGTTAACAAACAAACATGTCAACACAAACATCAGGACTGGTTATCCTAAAAAAACAAGAAAGAAAACAACATGTTTTCCTCCTGTGAAGTTTAACATAACAACAACCTTTCCAGCTGCAGCCCCGGTGTGAGTGGTTCAAATCTTACAATCCAGTCTCATGCAGCTTGTACTTTACAACGTTTGTGTTATGCCTAAAAACGTGGTTTACCTAGTTATGCGAAATAAACAAACCCACCTTTCCGGCGGCCGCCCCGTTAAAGTGCACCTCTGCCTGAACCTTCTGCCTGCCGTCCGGCCGGGGAGGGGGAGCGTGGGAGCTAACAAGCCCCTAACGAGCCCCTAATGAACCCCAAACAAACCCCTAACGAGCACCCATGTCCCCACCTTTCCGGCTGCTGCCCCGTTAAAGTGCACCTCTGCCTGGACCTTCTGCCGGCTAGTCTGGCCGGGAGGGGGGGCGTGAGAGCTAACGAACCCCTAATGAACCCCTAACAAACCCCTAACGAGCCCCTAACAAACCCCCATGTTCCCACCTTTCCGGCTGCTGCCCCGTTAAAGTGCACCTCTGCCTGGACCTTCTGCCTGCCGTCCGGCCGGGGAGGGGGGCGTGGGAGGGGGGCGGCGGCGGCTCAAACTCCTCGGGCGTCGGGATCTCCATGGAGATCTCCGGGCCAACGGACTCATCCAAGTAGTCATCCTGCAGGGGGGGATGGGGTTTAGGAGAATAAGAGAAATCTTTACCAGGACAGTTTGTACATAAATCACAATGAGTCATTTGTCAGTAGAGTTCAAATTCAGTCTGATCTTCACTAAATTATGAAATGATCAACATCATCTATGACAATAATACTAAAATTCAAGTGTTGAATATTACACTATCCCAAGCAGAATGCAAACTTTTCTAATCTCTGCCTTAATGTTACAACAAATTAATTGAGGAGAAGGAAGACAGAAGCGTACAAGGTTGAGTCCTTACCATTGTTACTACAGGTGCTGAAGACACAACAGTTGAGAATTGTTACCATAGTATTAGAGGTTATTACCGTAACTACTGAAAAGGGTTGAGAAGCGTTTGCGTACCAGGTTGAAGTCAGGCAGACCCTGTGTGTCGTCGTTGATGTGGTCGATCAAAACTTCCACAGAACCCTCACCGTCGTGCTTTAGCTGCAACACAGACAGCAAAGGTCAACTCATGTTGCAGGTCAGGGGTCAACACAGGTCAGGGGTCAACTAAGACAGGTCACAGGTCAACTAAAAGTGCTGGTCAAAGGTCATTTAATTCTACAAGTCACAGGTCAACTACAACTGCAGGTTGAAAGTCATGTAATGCTGTAGGTCACACTGTGTGGGTCACAGTTCAAATAATAATTAATAACAAGTCACAGGTCAACTAACACAAAAGGTCAAAGTAATTAAGTTCTGACTAGCACACAAGGGTACTGTTTGTTTGATAATCATGATGATTGACAGGGACCCAAGGCTTGAGGTGGGGTTAAAGGTCAGAGGCAGTATCTAATGATATTATTTCATCTGTGATGTAGGGTTAAAGGTCAGAGGCAATATTTTTACTGTGGTGGGTTTAAAGGTCAGAAGCTTTATCTAAAAATGTTCTGTGCCGGGGTTAAAGGTGAGAGGTTGTTGTTCTACCTTGACATTAGGTGGGAGTTCATTAGGGACCTGAGGGGGGGTGATAGGTCGCGACCCTGCCTCGTTCTGGGAATCCTGCAGAAACACACCATATAAGGAATTAGTAGTTTTTGGTGTTTGTTCTTTTATGATTAGAGGAACTCTATCAATTGTACAAATAAATTTTCATGGGTATTTAGGGGACAATTTTGAGACTAAACCTTTGGAGGGGATTCAGTCTAGTCTTTAAGGATAAAACTTTGTGGGCCTGCCAGTCTAAGACATTGGATATTAGAATAGACTTTATTATAAGCGTGTATGTACTGACAGTTGTTGGTCACTGTTAGATCATAATGCTAAGCATGACCACTCATAGACTAAAGTTGGTGCCTCATGAAAGCTTTACTGTATTATATCTTACTCTTATTGTAAAGTGAACCTTGTATAGAGGTCACCTGACCAGACATCAGGAGCAAGCAAGGTCATTACATGGATCACACAAGGGTCACAAAAAAGGTCACACAAGGGTCATACAAGGGTCACAAAAAGGTCACATAAGGGTCACACAAAGGTCATACATAGGATGGTACTTTAGTGGAGTTGTCAATAGACCGTCCGACAGGATGGAAAGAGCCAGAGAGTGGTACTAGAGATGGTACCTACCCTAGCAGAACTGGAAGTCCTGACACTGTTGGTACTGGAAATGGTACTTACTGTAGTGGTACTGTGGGTACTGTAGGTGGTACTTACCCTAGCAGAACTGGAGGTCCTGACACTGTTGGTACTGGAGATGGTACTGCTGAGCGAGTTTTCGGACTGTCGGTCGGGAGAGAAGCCGGAGTCTGAGGGTCGCGCGCCCTTCATGGACTCGACCTCCTGCTTCAGGACCAGCGTATCGAATCTGTCGATGTCCCGCGGGGCGACCACGGCTCGAACCTCCGACAGCAGCGAGAACTGTAACAACATGGGTCATACATCTGTTATACATGGGTTATACATGGGTTATACGTGGGTTATACGTGGGTCACCAGTGTGTCGAATCTGTCGATGTCCCGCGGGGTGACCACGGCTCGGACTTCAGACAGTAGGGAGAACTGTGAACCCTGACCCCTACCTTGGAGTGTGTGTTGAGCAGCTCGAACAGTGCCATCACCAGGGCGTCCACGTCGATGTTTCCCCGCTCGTACTCGTTCAGGTAGTATCCCATGGTGCCCCTCTCGTTGTCGGAGAGCAGCGAGCGCGCCTGTTCCTCGATCATCCGCCGCGCGTGGCTCACGCTCGTGGACGAGCTCGCCAGCATGACCTGCGACCCCGGCGCCATGCCCCTGGAGAACACAGAACTCTGGGGGGAGACCAACAGTTTAGGTAAGAACTCTGAGGGGAGACCAACGGTTCAGGTAAGAACTCTGAGGGGAGACCAACGGTTCAGGTAAGAACTCTGAGGGGAGACCAACGGTTCAGGTAAGAACTCTGAGGGGAGACCAACGGTTCAGGTAAGAACTCTGAGGGGAGACCAACGGTTCAGGTAAGAACTCTGAGGGGAGACCAACGGTTCAGGTAAGAACTCTGAGGGGAGACCAACATTTCAGGTAAGAACTCTGAGGGGAGACCAACGGTTCAGGTAAGAACTCTGAGGGGAGACCAACGGTTCAGGTAAGAACTCTGAGGGGAGACCAACATTTCAGGTAAGAACTCTGAGGGGAGACCAACGGTTCAGGTAAGAACTTTGAATCAGACTAAACTCTGAGGTGAGACCAAGTTTTCATTAGACCAAACTCTGAGGTGAGACCATGCAGACACAAGTTATCATTGACTATATACCAGGAATTTGCAAGTTTTCAGCATGAGCAAGTACAATGTACCATCCATGCTGTTAGATCATGCTAAAAACAAAAACTGATGGTTGTTACAGTGACTACATTTTGTAACTGTTCTTTGCTTTAAAGTACGTATTGGTTATATTTTATTCTTTTTGTATTCATAGCAGTGAAATCAGATGGTCTCCTATGCATTTGGCCTTCTTTGCATACATTAAAATGTTGACCAGTTATCATGCATGATTATTACATTTCTATGTAACAAGATGATCACTTCAAAATGAGTAGATCTTTGTTCATATCATTCATGTCAATAATATGCTAATACAATCGAAGGCACTGATGTTTTATCAGTATTAATCTCGGAAATGAAAAAGGAATTGTGAACATTGAACAATTGTTAAACCCAGAATAAAAGTGCAATCAGAGAAAACAGCAGCCCCGTGCAGTTGATAATGGTAACTGCACCTGACCCTAACACTCATCTTTGTGAGAAGACACCAGAAAGGTGACACCAGAAGCACCTGGGAGTGTGTTAAACAGAAGCACCCCCCCCACACACACACACACCCACACACACACCCCACCATCACCCACACCAGTGTCAACTGAGTTGCCATGCACCCCCAGCTTGGTCCAGAGGAAAGTCTTACATAACCCAGAAGCACAAGGCTACACCTGTCTTGTAAAGTATTTATTTTACAAAACAAATTTTAAAGCTTCTGCCCTGGATCCAACATTTCGTATGTGAGCTGCAGTAAACAATGTTACTGCAGAACAAAGCAATTGTTGTATCCAGAACCATGCTTGTCCAAAACAGGCACAGTTCTGGATAGTCCACACGTATACCTGGACCTGGAGTTCATGTTCTTGAACACATAGAAATTATCCAGAACTGAGCCTGATCCTAACCCTAACCCATTCAGGCATAGAGCTAGATACGAACAGTTCTGGATACAATAGAGACTATCCAGAACCGTGCCTGATCCTTTTACCCTAACCCATTCAGACATAGAACTTAAGATAAGCATGGTTCTGGATATGATAGAAGGCAAGCGAAAGCTGTGACTGATGGACAGGGAAACCTTGGGCTTCCAGGGTATGACGGTCACTTGACTAGCAGAACCAGCATCTGCGTGCAAGAAGCTGGTTTCTGACCTTTGACCTGCGTGCAAGAAGCGACTATACCTGTTCGACATCTGTGTCCTTATTACGCACAGACGGGTCATCGCCCCTGGCAACGGGGCCATCGCCCCCGGCAACGGACGCTCGCTTGGGTTTAGAGAACAGGCCGATTACTGATGTCCTAAGCTGCTCCCAAATACGATTTTTGCTCTGCCGTGTGTGTTAGAAAACATTAATTAGTGTTAAAAGCTGTGAGTTATCGTTAGTAACGGTTACAGCAGGCAGTCTGAGCTTCAAACTAATCTTCAGCCTGCTAAGGCAGCTGTTTTGTACTGGCTACCAGGTTAGGCAGCAGGGAGAAGGTTAATATCTGTGACAGGAGTTGGTGAGAACTGCTGGTGCAGAGTAAAGTTGTTAGGTTATGCTTTACTGTCTCAATACTTTTCTGTAGTGACAATAGTGGAGCAAAGTGCCTTTAACATGCCTCAGGTCTGTTTGATCATTTCTTCCCGATATTAGAAAGTCTGGCTTCAAATTCAGTTTTTCCTGTGTATTTTGTGTGATGCATACACCCTGGTGCTGGTGAGAGCAGTTATAAAGGCCTTGGTGAGTTAGTGGTGTTAGTGGTGATACAGGTAACTACTGGTGATGACTACTTAGTAGCTGATCGGTGCACAAAGTGTGTCCCCTCTCCTCCCCGTGTGAACTGTGCTACCCTGGCCATGCTAAGTCTTTGGAAACACTGAAAAATGTTTATGCACAGTAATATCCAGCTGCTAAGGAAAATGGCCAAAAGTCTTTTTTCTCAGTTTTATGTAACATTACTCAGCAGTTTCTGTGATGGAGACTTTAATGTTTCTCCTTGGTGCTGAAATCACGGCTGGTTCTTCTGCACTCGTCCTTTGACTTTTTCCCTAAGCCCTTTGCCCTAAGACCTTTGCCCTGTGACCTTTGCCCTGTGACCTACCTCTGTGTCCTTCCTCCGTCTGGGCAGGGTGCTGTTGGCTGCGGAGCTGCTGAGGGGACAGAGGGGAAAGGTGAAAGGTCAAACTTCTCTTACTGCAAAACATCAGACTAAGTTAGAAAACAGTAATCTGCAATGTTCTGGAAATGCACTGAATGTGAGAAAAAATGCTCTCATAGCTGACAAGAAATCATGATGCAGAATTGCTAAATAAACCTCCAAGTCAGATGTTCAACACTCAACAAGCATGCTTCACCATGTTTGGGTTAGGTATGACCTTGACACCAGGCTCCTGACCTTGGGAAAGTCAGCTGTTCTGCTATCCAATCAGACAGCACTGTTTTATAGGACAGCAAATCTTAACAGTTTACTCCTGCTGACTCTTCAAGGTAACAGTGAAAGATAGGATGGTAACTGATGAATATTTTACTCATTTGCAACAAGAGATTTGGTCTGTGACCTTCGACCCATGACCTCTGACCCACCTGTCAGCATCGTACTCAGAATTTGCCGGTTCCTCGGCCTCTGACTTTTTCCTGATGGCAGCGTGCGGGAAACAGAGAAACACGGTTTGTGGGCAGATAGATGTTGCTTATTAATAAGCTAACTGTATAGACCCTCCAACCAGATTCTGCTCATTGAGCAAGTCATAAAACATCTGAACTTGACCTTGGGAAGAGTTTGACCTACTTGTCCTTGAAGACAGCGACCTGATGCTGTGACAGCTGGTCTCCCATGAGCCACTGGGTGCGGTCGTAGGTCGTGCGGGCGTACGGAAGCCGCCCGACGTCCTTGATGGTCATCATCATGTGTTTGGACGTCTTCAGGATGCGGACCGCGTCGTCGTGGGAGATGCTGAGAAAGTTCACGCTGTTCACATCCAGGATCTGGTCTCCCACCTGTGTTACATAGAAGGAAATGGTGAGTCTGGTCTCACACCTGCGTTACATAAAAGGAAATGGACGTCTTCAGGATGCGGACCGCCTCGTCGTGGGAGATGCTGAGGAAGTTCACACTGTTCACATCCAGGATCTGGTCTCCCACCTGCGTTCATGGGAAGGAAAGGTGAGTCTGGTCTCACACCTACGTTACAGGAAAGGAAATGAACGTCTTCAGGGTGTGGACAGCCTCGTCATGGGAAATACTCAGGAAGTTCACACTGTTCACATCCAGGATCTGGTCTCCCACCTGCATTACAGATTCTGAAAAAGAAATGGACATACTCAGGATGCGGACCGCCTCGTTGTGGGAGATGCTGAGGAAGTTCATGCTGTTCACATCCAGGATCTGGTCTCCCACCTGCGTTAGAAGGAAGCAAAGGTGAGTCTGGTCTCACACCTATGTTACAGGAAAGGAAATGGTCAGTCTGGTCTCCCAACTGCGTTCTTGAGAAACATTCATGTTCATGTCCAGGATCTGGTCTCCCACTCGGGTTACAGAAAAGTAGTCAAACGGCCGTGGTGTGTAAGTCTAGCCTGTGTTTCTAAACAGGACAACAGTATCGTAGTAGAAGAGACCAAATAAATTCTGCTTGCGTGCAAATACTGTTGTGTACAACATCAAAGATCTATTAGTGAACCACACACAGAGGATTCTAAGAAACTGGTCTGACCTTCAGTCCTGCCTCTTCTGCCACGGAGTAGGGGTCGACCCCTGTGATGTAGATCCCAAGGTCAAACTCTTTCCCTCCGCGGATCATCAGGCCGAGTGAGCTGCCCTCCCCCACTACCAGGTTCACCTGGAGACACACACAGGTAATATACTAACACACTCATATCCTACATGTACCCCCTAACCCACACTAATTCTCC